AGACATTGGAAAATATCTTGTTGTACCAACAACACTGGCTGTATCTTTTATTATCCATTTCTTAGATGTGTGAACAGCTTGCTGGCTTTCTTCATGAAGCATCAAAAGAAGATGTTGTTAGTGTTGTCATACTGACAGGTGCAGGGAACAGTTTCTGTAGTGGTCTGGATTACCAGCACCTAATTGCTACACACAATCGACAGGAAGCAAAAAGGATGGTTGAGAAATTCAAGTAAGGAATGATGAAAATATAAGAGGATACCTCAAGGGTTAAGGGCTGAGAGCAAGAGATGAGGGGTGGGGTTTAAGGGTAATGGGACCTGGTTGTTTATCATGAAAGTGCAAGAAATGCAAAGGAGAGGGTAATTAAGTTATCAAACACATACAAAGTTTCTAATCTATACAAGAGGAGATAGAAGTCATCATTAAGTGCTTAGTAACTCTAACTTACACCTTAGGGTGTCTTTGAAATTATGGTTATAGATTAGCCACATCCTCTGCATGTTGAGGAAGGAAGTGAGTGCTCCAAGCCTTGACTTTTGACTGGAAGAAACATTTGACTATTTTGTCTAGATCACAAAGTTGGGTGATGAGAGAGCTGGAAATTAGAGGAGTTATCTATCTTACGTGTGGGACATTAAATATGTTGCTTTGAAGCCTTTGTGGCATACCTGTGTGGTATCTAACTCTACACAACCATGCCAGCCTTACTGCTTATTCTTAAGAGAATCCAATTTTTTTCAACAGACTATTGGTTGAACTTTTGATTGGTTTCCCAAAGGTTCTTGTAGCAGCTGTAAATGGTAATGCATTAGGATTTGGCACAGCACTCCTCAGTTTATGTGACATAGTGTATGCAAGCAACAAGGTTTGTCAAATATAACTCACATGATTTTAAGAGTCTTGATATTTGTAGCCTTGCATTTCTCATCACCAGTATTTTAGTTTAAAGCTGAGACAGTTGTGATTAAACTTTTTTCTTGGTGGTTAAGGGCCATGGGACCCATTTCTTAGAAGTTCTGGTAACTTAAAGGGCCCAAAGGCATATTTTAAAATTAAACTTTAAGGAATAGAGAAACAGGTCCTGGAACTTTGTTCCTCTACCTGATAGTTTTATTATATAATTTTCAAAACTTTGGATACCCCTATCTTTAATGAAAATTGTTTAGCTTCACAGGCCTATTAACTTACCTGAACCTTTTAGAAAAGGGCCCACTGGCCAGGATCTTGTTGCTGCACCACCCAGTTACCATGCAAAAGAAACTTTCATAGTATGGTAAACTGGTATACTAAAGATAGTGATTATTTGAAATGCTGATCTTTCTAACAGTATTTTCCCTTTTTTAGGCAACTTTTCAGACATGTTTTACCCAATGGGGTCTTCCACCCATTGGTTGTTTGTCTTCCCTTTTACCTTCCCTATTGGGAAAAACTGGGGTAGGTGCTTTAACCTGATCAGCAAAACCAATTTTAAAAATTTGCAACTTTCATTTGTATGATTTTTAGACACCAAGATACTCCAGCTTGTAGACTTTGGATCTTTAAATGATCTTAACTTTTTATGTTTTTCTCAATTGCATTTTGAAATGACTGTAAAGTTTCCAGTGAGGCCATACTGTACTCTACTAGAAAATTATGAAAAGTTTTGAAGCTTTGATTTAAGACAGCATTCATCCTTGATGATGCTGGTTATTGCTGAAAGCTTGGACACATACTTTTAATTTATACA